GTGTTATAAACATACGTAAAAATTTGAATATTTAAGGAATATATTTTTATTACTTTTTCTTCATTGAATTATAAACAATGAGTTGAAATGCACGACCCAATAGTGAAACTAAAATAAAATAATAAATTTAAGTACTTTATATATATTTAATTTTTTAATATTTAACTTACTTTACATAATATTTTCTTTGAATGGAATACTCACTTGTTATTTATTGCTTGGGCCCTCAGCCTAGCAATGCTAGCGAACTCAAGCTCAAAAAGTTGCTCGAACTCAAGTCTAAACCATATAATGAGCTCATCCCCCGGCCCGCCCATTCTTATCATGATCGAGAGCTAGTATTGAGATGAAGGCTTTGTTTGGGGGCAAATTATTATGTGTCCGGTCACCGAACCGTTCGGACACCAATCCAGACGAGCCATGTCACTCGGATACACTGGGCCCCAGGTGTATATGGGTGATGTGACATGTCTAGATTGGCGTTCGGACGAATATGAACACCGGATGTAATAATTTTCCTTGTTTGAGACACTCTTTTTATTAATTTTCGTTTTAAAAAATAAAACAGAAAATTAACCAAACCAAAGTTAAAGTCGCATTGAGGAACTTTTATTACGTCTTCTGACCGGACATAGATCTACGTGCGGTCAAAAGATTGTTACTCGATTTTTGCTCGGTATTTGGTCGGTATTGCTAGGTATTGTTTGATAATAATGAGGAATATCACTATGGGAAGACCAATACCGAGTAATACCGAGCAATACCGATTATTACCAAAAAAATATCGAGTTTTTCTAGAAAAAACTCGATATTTTTGATATTACTCGGTATTGCTCGGTATTTTGTCTTAACATAATGATATTTCTCGTTATTATTGGAATTGCTCAATATTTCTCGTTTTGTGGCTGCGATCTTAATGCCGACCGAAGGTAACTTTACGTAAGTTCACCGGACCAAATAAACGTTCCGCATTGAGGGTCTGCTTCGCCGAAGTTGAGATGGTAGTTGTGAGCTCCCGAAGAAGAACGGAATCAACGACAAAAACTCCGCTTCGCGGAAGGAATGACGCATAACCAGCTCGCAAGGAAGGAAAGGCCAAATAATTATAAAGTAATTATGAAATAATGTGCTGAACAGCTGCATTAATATTTTCTTTGAGAAAACGGTACTGCTGATTTTTTTTAATAGAAAATAGTACAAATGAATTAATGATTTTGACGTTACAATAAATACAGGATATTATTGAATTCATTTATTATAGCATTATACATTTTATTTAATTGTTAGATTTTAAATATTTAATTTATTCAAATCGGCTCGTTCACCAGGTAAATTTTATCGAGCACAAATTTGAGCTTATTTAATTTATGCGAGTAACAAGCCGAGTTTGTCGGAAAAAATTATTATGTAGTGTTCAGCATCGTCTGGAGGTCAATCTGAGGTATCTGAACGTGCCACATTACCTAATGTCCAGTGTATTAGATGATGTGGCGCATTCGGAAGTCAATTCGGAAGTGTTCGAACACCGCAAAAGATAATCTCTCGTTTGTCGGGCCGGCTCATTTACCCCCTACTCAGTCCTCATCAGCCATTTTTTATTTCTAAAATGTTGAAGTCTCAAACCCTACCCCTTTGTCGTAGCCCTACCCCTTTGTCGTAGCAAACGTCCCTCGTGACCTTATTACCTTTCCTATTTTTCCGACCCGCCGACCACCGCACCTTTGGCCTTGAATCTCAATCCTCCCCACCTTTTGTTCAATTTTCAAGTCACATGAACTCTAGCAAAGTTCTACAAGGGGTCATGGTTGGGTACCCATACTTTGCTCGGACGGGCTTTGCCCACCCATGATGACTTTCAGGATGTCGTACGCATCTATACCTACCCACTTTCCATTTTTTTAAACGTAGTTTGTGGACTGATGGCCTTGAGGCTTGTTGCTCTTTGCTCAGATTGTCAACTTTCTAGCCGCATATCAGAATTTACCCTTTATCGCAGCGTGGTTAAGTGTTGCACACTACGTAGTGATAATTGCAGTAGTATATGATATATGATGATTAGCAATGTAAATTGATTTATCCCCCAATATTCAGTATCCACCCATTCCCACCCACAAGGTCATGGGCGTACCCATAATGGGTATGGGTGGGTACATGGGTAGGTGTGGGTATGGGTACCCAACGCAGGACTCTGAACTCTAGGTAATAATATTTAGTTTTATTATTTGAGTTCAAATCATATTTTTAATTTTTGAAATTTCTATCCTCACATACTTCCTTCTCTTCAAATCTTCTAACTTGTTTATCTGTTTGGATTTTCTCCATTTGCAAAGCTACATAATCTGTTTGGATTTTCTTTGTAAATGGTGTATAAAATTCTTGTGTTTTCTCCCAGCCAAGTGATATTTCAACTTGTTTAGATTTATTGAATATCAAGTTGTTTGACTTTCAAATACTTGAAAGCCACAAACTAATTGATTGCATAAAAAATTTTCCAATTCATCCATGTCATATAAGGGCAAAACCATTGAATAATATTTTTAAGGTTTTTAATAAGAGCATGAAAAGGGCAAAACCGTTGAATATAAAAATTTGTATTCATGTTAAATTAATTTAGGTTCAATGAGATTTTTTTATCATAACAAAACTTTATAAGTTTTTTATGTATGAAAGAACAAATATATTAAACAATTTGAATGGATTAAGTTTTGTATCTTCTTGTGATTGTTTTAGTAGGTAAGAAGTTATATATTAGCTCCACAACTATTATTTTTTACTTCATATATTTTCCTTTTAGACTAAAATGTGATACAAATATTTATGCAAACGCACACAAGTTGCTATTGTTATTTGTATAGCTGCTTTTTGGAAAGAGTTCACAGCATATAAATTTCTCTGTGTACAACTTATACACAAATTGTGTACATGTCTACAGTAATCCATTATTACTTATATTCTTATAAATGTATACATTTTGTATACACTTATACGCACAGTGTGTACAAGCTTGTACACCTTGTATAGTTTCTCTTTATACACACTGTATACAAGTTGTACATAATGTGTGTACAAGTTTGTACACACACACACTCTGTACAATTCTACAAAAAAGTTCTTATAAATTTTTCTTGTATACACACATTATAAAAGGGTACACAATGTACTTATAAATTCCTCTTGTATACAAACTGTGTACAGTATACATAAAGTGTATAGATTCCCCATATATACTGTGTAAAAGTGTACAAAATATGCTTATAAATTTCTCTTGACTCAAAATGCTTATAAATTTTTCTTATACACACATTGTGTATAACTTATATATATGGTGTGTACAAATTCAAAAAGCATCATAATAAACAAAAACATCACATAAACCATTTATATCATTGATCTAAGCTTTTCAAAAAGCATTAAAATGAACAAAAAAATTTCTTGTACGCACACTGTGTATAAGTGCAAAAACCATCAAAATGAACAAAAACACACCATAAATCTTTGATATTATTATATGCAAGTATTTCACATACCATACAGTGTGTGTATAAGGGAAAAAATCGCATTTCAAAAAAAAAAATTTCTTGCACACACACTATGTACAAGTTCAAAAAGCATCAAAATAAATAAAAATATCATGCAAACGGAGGAAAAATACATAATAATTATAATTGAGAGAATAAATGAACTTTCAAAAAATTATCATTTAACTTAAATTTTATGTAGTTGATTTACAGAAGAATGACTTATTCGGGGCATTCGATATATAAATAATTGTAGAATGCATTCGAGTTAATGTGTGAACGATCAAGGTGAATACAATTCTGTTGTAGTTGCATCTATGATAGATTTCTCTGTTAAAAAATATAAGCTTAACCAAACGTGCATTGCCTCATAATATACATTAAAAAGTAATTATTATATAAGTTACATCTTATTCTTAGGCTTTTTTTTCTTCTCCCAGTGGTCAGGGACGGAACCATGTTGAACAAAAGTATGATTCATCGACACATTCATTATGTAAAAATTTGAAGAATATACCCTAAATCCTTAAAACTATACATTTACATGAAATTTAGTAAAACTTAGGAGGAGTTTAAAATTTACCGATAAAACATTCAAATGCAATGTCCTCCAAATCAGCTTCCCTTTTCATCGTTTGTTTCTCATTTTTCTTTCTCAGTAGCTATCAAAAATTTTATTCCTCCAAAACCCTAAATATTTAGAAGTTTTCATATGTTTCTTTCTTAAAAATGTAAAAATGAGCAACAACAACAACAATAATAAATTAGATGGTTTGGTCACATTAAACGAAGGCCTCCTAATGACCCGGTTAGAAAAGTTGAGGTATTAGATTTGACTTATGTTAAGAAAGGTAGAGTTAGACCTAAAAAGACTTTGTTAGAAAATATTAGAAATGATCTTTCCTTATTAGATTTAAATGAGAATTTGACTTTTAACCTGACACAATGACGAAAAAGGATTCATGTAGCCGACCCCACATAGTGGGACAAAGGCTTGATGTTGTTGTTATAAAAATGAGCATCAATTTAAAAATCACATAATTGGATTAGGTCGGTTCATTAAAAAAAAATAGAAATTCACATATCTAAATGTGAAGTTTTACCAGGACTCTGCCAGGAATAATTTCTCCTCTTATAGAGCTCAAAACATTTTTTTTTTTTTGGACATTTAGGCCATTTAAGGCAAACTCACACACACAACGCATACACATGGACTCGAACCTTGGACCTCTTAGTTGAAAGCCTAAGCTCTCAACCAATAGGCCAAGGAGAGTTGTGTGAGTTCAAAACATAGAAAGATGAATAGTCTGCACTTCAAAACCTTCTTAAAAAGACACTTTGTTCGGCCTTCCTCCTCCATTCCCAGTCCTTTATTCACGCCAACTTTTCCACCCCAAATCACTCCTCTCTCTCTCTCTCTCTCTCTCTCTCTCTCTCTCTCTCTCTCTCTCGTTCTTTATTTCTCTCTCTCTCTCTCGCTTTCTTGCTCTACTTCCCATTACAGGAAACACAGAACCCCCAAAAGTCCTTCACCTTCTCCTCAATTCCCTGCTCCCTTTCCCTGCTTCTTCTCTCTTTACTTTCTTCTCTTCCCCACCTCGAGGAAGAGAAAGTTGAATTGGTCAAGAAGGTATGAAACATCTCTGCTCCACTGACAACCTTCCCTCTCTCTTCACTCTCCTTCTCCATGACTTGCTCTCACTTTCCTTTTTCTTGATTTCTCACCCTCTTATCTTAGCTTATCTCCTTCTCCTCTCCCCTTACCTCCTCAAACTCCTCTTCTTCCTCTACCCCCTCCTCTTCTCCACCTTCCTTCTCCTCCTTGCCCTCCTCACTGTCACCTTTCATCTCCATGACTCTCCTGCTGCCTCCCCTGAATTCCCTGTAACCACTTGCAGTGCAGTCCTCAACTTTCTCCGGGCTGAACTTGTTGCTGATGAAGCCAAATGTGGCTTAATAGAGCAGATCTGTTCGATCGTTTTTGTCGATTCCCAGCTCTGTTCCTACCAAATGGAGCCAAACGATGACTTTAGCTCAGGTAACCAAATCAATCAACCAGAAAGTTTTTCTCAAAACTGCAACCTTTTGGAAGATGCCAAACATAAAGAGGACAGAGCAGATAATTTGAGTGAGAAGACAGAGGAAAAGAATTGCTCGGATCACAAACATCTTAAAGAGGAAGAAAGCAACGCCAAAACCATTCTTCAAAGCCGAAAAGAACACAGCCGCAGACCATCAGAGATCCTTCAAAGAGATGGCTCAATGAGGAAGGACAAAGAGTGGAAGAGGACTCTGGCTTGCAAGCTCTTCGAGGAGAGGATGACCTACAAGCTTTGTGAGGAGAGGAAGGTCGTTGAAGGCGCCGAGGAGATGGATTTGCTCTGGGAGGCTTATGAGATTGATGCAGGGAAGTCTGAGAAGCTTAATAGGAAGGAGAAGGATACTAAGAAAGCAGTGCAGGCAAAAGTGAAAGAGGAAGAAGAAGATGATGATGATGATGCAGAAGAAGGGATATCTGGGCAGCTTTGTTGCTTGCAGGCATTGAAATTGTCAGCCGGGAAGATGAATTTGGGAGTGGGGAGGCCAAGCTTGGTGAAGATATCCATGGCTTTGAAGGGAATGGCTGTGTTTCACAGAGCAGGAAGGAGGAAGAAAAACCACTAAATGATTGTTCTGCTTAGACGCTTAGCAATTAAAAATCGCCATAGTGACAGAGGACAAATCTCCATGTTCAGTATAGTATGTTAAGATGTATATGATATTACAAATAATTTCGATCGTATTGTCTTCGTTTAATTACTTTTCATTTGGTTGCATATTTTTTCTTTTATTTAATATCTAAAAAAATAAATTTATTTAGTTAATAAATAATAGAATGATATAATATAAGATTTTTTTTATTAATTTATGTTCCTAAAATTTTATTCGGAATAATTTTCTTATTATCGACTCTCTCTCTCTTAGTTTTCTCTCTCTCCAACTCTCTAAAGCTGAAAACTTAAAAAAAAAAAAAGTTTCAAAGGAAAACGCAAAGCTGTTTTGCGTGGATGATCCTTTTTAAATTTTATTTTAATAATGCTCCTTTTTTTAATTTAATCTTTAATAATGATCCCTTTTAAAATTTGCCCTATCTCTTTCTGTAATTTGTCCTCCGAGAAAAACGCCTTCACATATTTTTGTTTTTAGGCTTTGAGAGTTTTGGTTTGCTGGTAAGGGGATGGTAAATATTTAAAATATAGGAGATTTTAGATTTTGGGTGTTTAATTTGATGAAAAAATATATATATATATATAATATAAATTTTAGTGATTTTTTTTTTACTCTCTTTTTTGAGAGAATTTTGTTATCAATGCAAGCTAACAATATTGTTGACTTGTTGATGCCCACATGTCACCTATTGCCAACCAACCCGACCTTAAATAATTTTTAATCAAATTAAACACCCAAAATCTTTTTCAGCAAACCAAACACCTCTAAATAATCTTTTTCTTACATTCGACCTAATCTTAACTCATGGATGTCTGTTCAGATGTTTCTAATTTGAGAGAAAGTCTCATCATGAGAAATGAATCAATATAACAACCAAACCCAATGTGATACTTACATGATAAGCACATTAAGATGAGGAGAAACTCAATTTTATTTTTATTTTGCTCAATATCATATATTTATACTATCAATGACAGTGACCCATTAAAGATACCATTGATTGATTAACCTTCATAGTTGTTTTTTATTTCTTCACTATGTTATATATTGTAGTGATCTTTGACCATTGTTGAGTTAACTAATAGTTGATCTAGGTTGATGTTGAGATTAGTTATGATTTGATAGACTGGATTTGCTGATTCTCTAAATTGAGGTTGGAGGAAAATAACGTAAGATGCACTTTGAGATATTCCTTCGTCACTATGTCACTTTAGAGTGTTGATGTAAACCCCCTATCAATATCTCAAACTAACTTAGACCTAATGCTCTCCAAGTCATGTCTAACTTGGAGACTTTTAAAAGTCAACATTGATCTATTTTTATCCTATTAGATATGAACCAAGTTTGGTCTGCTTCTTGGGCTATTAGTTTAAGCTTATATAGCTAACAATCCTATTCTAATCATATTTAGAGGATATCCCTGACTTACAATAATGTAGCACCAACTTTTATATATCTAATTTTCATCTATCAAACTCAAAATACGATCATATTTATATCCTTCTAATCAAAATCTTTTTAATCTTCTAAAATTTCTTGTTTTAGTGCTGCACCTCAACAATCATCATGATAAGTCTTAAAAATAATGGATCTTTCATATGGACACTTCTCAAATGACATATTTTTGTTCTAAGAATGTTTGACATGTTATAATGATAGTTTTCCATATCATCCACATCTCTAGGATTGGTGATCCATGCTACCCATGCTCTCATATGTTAGTCTTATATTCCAATTATTATATCTCCACTTGATTGTCCTATAGTTATAATCTAACACTTGATCTTCTTTTAGCTTAACAAGTATTCCATGATCTGATCCACCATACTCCTCAAGAGGACAAACATTGATTTCCTCTTACATCCTAAGGAGTGGAAATTCAATAGAACCATGCCACATAATCATAAATTTCCTCGCCACCACAACATTAATGGCTTCTTAGTCACCTAAATATTTATCCCTCTTTTATCTTTAAAATGAATCATTGAGAACTGAACTCACTATGTAATTGGGAGTGTAAGAGTTGAGGGAGCTTGAACTCATTATGTCCATATAATGGACAAACTAAAAAGGTTGAGCCAGTAAAAAATCTTGGGTGTAGATTTCTCTTTTCTCCATATTATTTTTTTTATTCATTCTCTCTAAGATATTTTTTGCAAGACCTAGCTCTTACATTAGTGGGGTAAAATGACTTGAATGTTCACTTTCTCCTTCTTCCCCTCTTCCTTTCTTTACATATGAAACCCCTAGATAGATCTTTAGCCATATCAAAAGAGTCCCTTTTCTAAGACTTTTATCTAATTCATAATCATGATTCATGCAATGATGATGTTTTGACACTCATTAAATGTGTTATTTTATCTTCCCTCTTTAGTGATAAATATCTCTTAGGGTTTACTCTACTAAAATATGACTTCTTCTTTTTTTTTTTACTTTCTTTGCTGTTTTATCCAACATCCATGCTTTTCTTGAGGGTTCTCCTTTGCTTTTAATTTCAATATATTGATAGTGCTTCAATAGAGAATATATATACCATAAATCGGGAGCTTAAGGTGCAATATCAACATTCAAAAGTAGAAATGAGAATTTCTCAAATAAGTGAATACTTGAGGGTGGAAATTTGTTGAACTTCTTTCATGTTGAGTCCTTGAAGCTGATGACTAAGATTTTAAACTTGATTGCATATGAGATGTTTATTAAGGAAATAATATCTATATCTGATTAACATGATCAATTATCTCTTAGCACATCTCAAGTTGAGCAGCCTATAAAGTTATCTTATAGACATTTTTTTAGTATTACTAGCAAATTTATTTAGTAATTCATCACAAAATATGTGTCAACTCCATTGAAAGGTAAAAATATAATCAATGAGGATAATTTATTTCACAATTCTAGTGGGTCAGGAAGTAGTCACACCTTAGAATTTCCTCTTCGTTTTGATTTTACATCCCAAATTTTTTAGAAATGGAGTTTAACAAAATTGTAGATTTTCATTCTTGAAAATAGAGCAGCAACTTATATATCACCTGAGAGATTATCTAATCAAGCGCAAAATTTGATGCAAATTTTATATCAAAAAGCATTATAGTATTTGGGCGAAAAATTTGAAGAATTGATTAATGAGAGTCATGAGACCATGAGATGAGAATAATTTAATAATTCCAATATCTCTTGGATCTAAGTCCAAATGAGCTTAAATCAAGCTTTGAAAAGTATAATTAAGATTATTTGATGGTTTAAATGTCCTCTAATCTATGTGACATTATAGTCAAAAAGACATCTCAACATGACAATCTTAGTAGTCATTGATTTATCATTTCAAGAGCCTTAAGGCATTGAAATGCTCATAAAATAAAATAAAATAAAAGAGGAAATACAAAAATTGTTCAATGCAATATTCATATTTTTTTATGGAAATGACTGTAACACTACATCCCACTAAAAATCTATAAATAAGTCATGTTTTTATATATTTAAAAATGAGTTTTTGTTGTGGAGAATTCAAATATTTTAAAAAGTATTGGAGATCTTACTTCTATTTAGAACCTTAATGAGCAATTTTTAGGATTTCACATGTTTATGTTTCTCCTTAATCTTTAGTGATAGCCCTCCATGGTTATTGTTTGACCGTCATCTTTTGTCCCCGATTAACGTTGACTATCATCATTGTTTATCCTCCAAAAGTTATACCTATCACCTTTCTCGACATGCGCTCGGACGTTACATAAAGACCGATGATTATATTATCATGATACAGCCAAAGGACAACATTGTTAGGATAAAATTAAAGAATAAAACATGACCAATTTGATTTGGTGTGTTCCATTAAATTGTTAAATTATTAGTTTAGTTATGTGGTGAAATTTTAAGATTCTTTTATTTTCATCTATTTATTCAGTTTTTATTTCTTCTAAATTAAGAAAATTAAAAATTGATATGTGATGGCAATAAATTGACCTTGACCATTTAATTCCACAAATATTTTTTTTTAATTCATTCAAAATTGAATCAAATAAATCGAACTAAGTTTTAAGTCAATTCATTCAATTTAGAAAATAATGTAATCAACTTTAATTTCTAAAAGAGAATTTGTTGAATTAATCCTTGAATCAAATTGATCAAATGCATGCCTCTAATTACAAAGGTATACAAGCAAATTTTTTTTTCAAACAACAAAATATTTCTTAGTGATTAATACTAAACATATTTGCAACACAAATCTTATTTTCTTCCAAAGCATGAAACTACTATTTTGCCCTTAATGAAGTTCAATAAAAATAGCTGACCTTCATGACCATTTATATAAATTCACTTAGATTTTGGCTTCAAACTTCTTTTTTCACACTTCTCCTTTAAAAATGAGAAAGGGTTAAATTTCAAAATAATTCCTTAACTATTCAAATATGGTCATTTTAGTCTCATAATTATAACGTAGTATCAATTTAGTCCATCGATTATACAAAATTGATCCAAAATAATCCCTTTGAGTCTAAATTGTGATCAATTTTATATTACAATTATAACAAGGGTTATTTTAAATTAATTTTAAATAGTCAAGAGACTAAGGCTTCGTTTGATACGACTTTCTTATTGCTTCTTAAAGCAACTTTATAGTATAAAAATTTTAATTTTTGTACTAAAAAGCTGCTTTAAGAATCAATAAAAAAGCGGCCCCAAACCTAAGGCTTAGTTTAGGATGACTTATTTTATTGATTTTTTAAACAGAGTTTTATTAAAAAAAAATTAATTTATGTACTAAAAATTTGACTTAAAAAACAACAAAAAAGTCATCCCAAACCAAGTCTAAATTAAGGCGACAGGATACTCTGAGACTAAACTGATCATATATACAGAAATAATTTGAAGATTATTTTGAAATTATTCTAATTGAGAAAATATGATAAATATATATTGATGTGTTGATTGAATAAATATATTTATTATTCCTAAAATAACAGAGCTGATCTTATGGAAAAGCACTAATAAGTGATTTTCACTAGTTGATTCACTCACGTAATTTGTAGTTATTTTTCCATATAGATTAGATAGATAACGCCAAAGTAGCACTCATTTTATAGCATTAGATAAAAGCTGCTACAACACAACTCTCCTTGGTCTATTGGTTGAGAGCTTAGGCTTCCAACTAAGAGGTCCAGGGTTCGAGTCTATGTGTTTGCGTTGCGTGTGTGAGTATGCCTTAAATGGCCTAAATGTCCAAAAAAAAAAAAAAAAAGCCCAAAAAAAAAAAAAAAAAAAAAGCTGCTACAATCTAACTTTATTCTCTCTACATCACAGCTTCTTAGCTTCTTCATGTCTATGCTTTAGGAGACATCAATCAGTGAAATGGAACATTTTTATACTCCCAAAATATTGCTTTATTTGCTATTAGGCCCATTGGAGTGACATTTCAACCAACCATGGCCTATTTTAGTGATTCAATTTCAACATAATTAATTGGCATGAATTTATGCCTTAAAATTATTACATGCGGAATTCGTGTCTGGACTTCAATGAAATTTCGTCACGTCATTTATACACAGTAGTGTGTATAACTTATTTACAGTGTATAAATGTATTGTATACGCTACTGTATATAAGTGACGTGATGAAATCTCATTGGAATACAAATGTATTGGACTCTGCGTGTAATACTTTTTGCTAATTCAGAGCTTTCTTTTTTTAAAATCTTTGGATGAATGATATGTACTTGTATTATACGCATGCCAATAATTTTGGAAGGTTATATATTTGATGGAGAAAGCATGAAAAGTAATAAGAGTTTCATGATATATAGTAAAATAGAAGTAGTGTATTTTGAATACTTTTGGAGATGTTTAGTATGATAAGCAGCATTGAAGTAAAGTATACTATTGAAATGAAATGACAATAATACTACTAAATGAGCAATCAAACTTAGAGTAAATTTAATATTGCTACAAACATACTTAACATTACGATTAATGTTTCATAAATCGAAAATACAAATGAAAAAATTACAGCTCAAAATGTTTATATATGTAACACAAAGTAACTCCAAAAATATCTAGCTATTATAACTCAAAATGCTAACATTTTCCACAATACAAATCATTTTCCTAACTCTTTACACATCCATTCAACCTTCAACTCCGTAGATTTCTAGAGGAAAGATTGTATCATTGTCCAATTTTTTGCAATATATTCCTTTCTTCAAAATTAAAGTGAGAAAGAGCAGGTGGACTTCGGCTTCATTTGGGACGGCTTTTTGACTGATTTCTAAAACGGAGTTTTAATACAAAAATAAATAAAAAAATAGTACTAAAACTCCGTTTTAGAAAGCAATAAAATAGCCGTCCCAAACGAAGCCTTCGTGGTTTCAAGTGAAAAATAAAATTAAAGTGAATAAGAGCCAATCAAATGACTGATGCCAAAGATTTCAAGTGAAAAATAGTTTCCATTATAGCAAAATGCAATTTTTTTCATCTCAAAATTCACAGGACAGCTGGACTTCATGAGAGCACAGAAGAACGATCCAATCTTTTCTTCTCTCGTAATAACTAAGTCAAATAAGAAACAAGATAGGAAGAGATGAACCCTAGTAAGCAAAGCTAGGAAGAGACGAATGGCAGGACTTCACGAGACGCATCCGGACGGCTGGACTACACGAGCGATAAACCATATATGCACCCGAAGAGGAAGATGGACGAGCACGCATCTGAACAACTAGAATTCGCGAGTGATAAACCATGCACCCGATGAGGAAGACAGACGAGCACGCACACGAGCACAATAGGTTTGCACGGGAGCGGAATTTTATGAGGAAGAACGACACTCTGAGCTTGCATTCTTGGATTTCTTTCGTGAAGAAGAACACGAACACAAAGAGTCTCGCGCCTTGTCCCCACATTTAGGGCTGCAAGCGAACCAAACGTTCGACGAGCTACTCGTTGTTCGGTTCAATTAAATCTCGTTTGTGATTGTTTAATTAGCTAAAGAAACAAACTTGAACAATATTTTAAATACTCGATTCTTAAATAAACAAACTTGAACACTAATGCGTTCGGCTCATTTATGTTCGCGAACAACATCATTTGAAGTTCGTGAACAAGCTCGACATTAAGCTCGATAAAATCTTGATTTGTGTTCGATTTTGAACTCGTAAATAAGCTAGATAAAAATAATTAATATTTGACTATAAAATTAATAACTATAAATAAGCATTGCCTTTGTTACATAGACAATTGCTTTTATTATAAATGTGTTTGTTCATAGATATGTTCATGAACATATTTATTTGATAGTTTAAAAAAAAAATTCATTCAATATGTTTGCGAACAAGCTCGATAAGCACTAAACGAACGAACATGAACTGAACATGAACCGAACATGAACACTAATTAATTTAAATGAACCAAACATGAACACAAACAATAAAGCTCGAACAAACATGAACCAAACTTGAACAAGCTGATATTAAATGAACACAAACATGAACACTCACATACTCGGCTCGGCTCGGTTCATTTGCAGCCCTACCCACATTATAGAGCTTGGTATCCGAAACTCACCCCGATTTAAGCAAGTTTGGAATACACCAAATATAGACCATCTAAGGAATTTTAAATACTTTGCTCATTTACTTTACATTTATTTTATACCATACCAAATACAAATAAATTTAAAACCCCCATATTTATCTTAGGGCACTATCTAAATACAAGCAACCAAACATCCCCTAAAGGGCTTTAGTGATAATATAGTTTTTCTACTCCAAAATATCTAATATATTATATAAAAAATTCTCCAAAACTTGAATATATATGGAATCTAGATTTAAATTAAATTAATTTTGTGAGTCATGTTGAGGCAAAATTATTTAATTTCATGTGAAAAAATTATTTTACGAACATAAATATTACTTGTGAATGATAATTTTATTATGTTGACAATCATACTTATTTCTAAAATAAAAAATTTAAAATTATAGATTTTTCAATGGAGGGAAGCATAAACCATAAATCAGAGTGAGTTATTTGCAGATTTTTTTTTTATTGAACAGCCGATGCTCTAAACTGTGAAGATAGGACTGAGAAGAGAGAGAGATCGGAGATCAGAACCTGGCAATGGCGATCTGGGCACAAACCCCTCACCGGCTTTCGAATCCAAACCCTAACTTGTCGCTTCGATCTTCTCTCCTCCTCGCCGTCGCCGTCTCCATATGCCTCGTTTGGGGAACCCTCTTCCTTGTCCCCTTCCACTCCGCCCGCAACGCCGCCTCCACCTTCTCCTTCTCCTCTGCCAACATCTCAACGGATCGATTCTTTCTAAACCTCCGATTCCCTCACCGCCGAGTCCTCGCCGTCAAAACTGACCCCCTTCGAGTCCGCATTGACCAGATCCGGAAGCAAGCCGCCGACCACGCCGGTCTCGCTTCCGCCTACGCTTCTTACGCCCGCAAGCTCAAGCTCGAGAACTCCAAGCAGCTCCGCCTCTTTGCGGAAATCTCCCGCAACTTCTCCCTCCTCATCTCTGACCACCGTCATCTCCTTGAAGATGTAAGCCCTATCGACGAGCCCTCCCTCCGTCGATTCGAGCGCGATGTTAAGGACCGTATACGCGCCGCCCGGACCCTCATCACCGACGCCAAGGAATCCTTCGATAACCAGCTCAAGATCCAAAAGCTCAAGGACACGATCTTTGCCGTCAACGAGCAGCTCACTAAGGCCAAGAAGCAGGGCGCCTTCTCCAGCTTGATTGCGGCCAAATCCATTCCCAAGAGCCTTCATTGCCTTGCAATGCGTCTGATGGAGGAGCGGATCTCCCATTCCGACCGCTACGGCGACCCAGAATCGCCGCCGCCCGCACTTGAGAACCCTCGGCTCTATCACTATGCCATCTTCTCTGACAACGTTCTCGCCGCCTCTGTTGTCCTCAATTCTGCCGTGAAGAACGCTAAGGATCCGTCGAAGCACGTCTTCCACGTCGTCACTGATCGGATGAACCTTGGTGCGATGCAGGTCATGTTTAAGCTCAAGGACTATGCCGGCGCCCATATAGAGGTCCGTGCCTTTGAGGATTATAAGTTCCTCAACTCCTCTTACGTCCCTGTTCTCCGGCAGCTTGAGTCAGCCAACTTGCAGAGGTTCTACTTTGAGAACAAGCTCGAGAATGCGACCAAGGACACAACCAATATGAAGTTTAGGAATCCAAAGTACTTGTCTATGCTTAATCATCTCAGGTTTTATCTTCCAGAGATGTACCCTAAGCTGCACCGGATTCTGTTCTTGGATGATGATGTGGTGGTGCAGAAGGATGTGACTGCTTTGTGGAAGATTGATATGGATGGAAAGGTTAATGGTGCCGTGGAAACTTGCTTTGGATCGTTTCATCGTTATGCACAGTATATGAATTTCTCACACCCGCTGATCAAGCAGAAGTTCGATCCGAAAGCATGCGGATGGGCTTATGGGATGAATTTCTTTGATTTGGATGCATGGAGGAAGGAGAAGTGCACTGAGCAGTACCATTACTGGCAGAATTTGGTAAGTGAGACTCTTATGTTTTTTCTTTTTGGTGCTGATGGCTCAAATTATAAAATCGAGAGTGGAAAATTGACATAGGTGATTTATAAATGTGTATATGAAGTTCTTGGGCTCAATTTTTTCTCTTAGGGCATCTCCAATCAAACTCCAACCGCTTGAATGGCATCGCTCGCGAGCTCCAGCCGAACGGTAAAACTTACGCTATTTGGTTGCGGATGAACAGTGGGATGTCAAATATTGGCGTTGCACTGTTCATCCTCTCTATTTTTCTATCTCTACCGAACTTGCCGAAGAAACGCGCAAAAGAAGAAAACGACCGTTACCTTCACAAAAGGGGGGAAAATGGAGTTCGATTGAAGATGAATCACGGCATTTTGGAGTTAAAAATGAGATTTTCGGTTGGAGATGCCCTTATATTGATGTTGTCAAACTTTGAAGGTCACTAAGTTTAATTTATTTTGCAGAATGAGAATCGTACCTTGTGGAAATTGGGGACTTTGCCTCCAGGTTTGATCACATTTTACTCCACGACAAAGCCGCTGGACAAATCCTGGCATGTGCTGGGACTGGGTTATAATCCAAGTATAAGCATGGATGAGATTCAGAATGCTGCAGTTGTTCATTTTAATGGAAATATGAAGCCATGGCTTGATATTGGTATGAACCAATTTAGGCCACTCTGGACAAAGTATGTTGATTATGATAACGAGTTCATTCGGCTCTGCAATTTCGGAGCGTAAAGCAGAATGTTCTTTCTCAAAGCTGCTGTGTAGAGAATAAAGCACAGAAATGGGAATTTAATCAGTAAGCAGTCGGTATTTTTGTTCTGTTGCAAGTGTCCTAATCAGATATTAGCTCTTATTCTTGCTTAGAAATGAATGCAATCTGATCCTTATAATCTCCTCAGGGCTATCCTGCTTCTCTTTATAGAAGCTTCTACTGTTTTTGTTTCATTGTGGAATCTTGAAGACCATGTACATCTGATGTCAAACTCTCAGCTTTATAACCATCTTGAACTTGGTAATGAATTTTGGGGCCGTATTTCTGTGAACTGCCCCCTCTTTCAGGATTAATTATTTTGTGGGGACGCTCAACGCCGTCCATAGATCAATCAAAATGCGTCACGTCATCCATACGCTCGGTGCCGCTGACGTCGCATTTTGATTGGTTTCCGGACGAAATTCTGCGACTGGTCTCCGCACATAATAATTTCTTTCCTTTCAATAATCAGTTTCTGCAAAACTGAGATATACCGGTGATGGTGAAAATCCTAAAAGTTTGCAGCTCATCGTGATCTATTGATTGAGAGATCTGTCTATCAATCAAGAGGTCTTGAGTTTAAACTTTATTAGCCTAAATGTCCTGCAAAAAAATCTAATAGTACAAAAATATTCGCTTTCATTATATGCCAAGCAATACAGTTTCAGAAATGGCAACATACGCCTTATAATTAAAAAAAAAAATAATAATCTCTTTCCAGATAATATCATCTCTGTTAAAATTACAATATAGCTATCCAGAAAGAACCTTCTGGTTGTGTACGGATATTTGTGTTACCAAAATTGAAAACTCTTAGATAAAATTGTATGGTTTATGTACATCAGTTACAAAGAACAATAAACTCACAGCTATCCTATTCTGCGTTTGTATAAACCCAAAAAAACTGCTTACAGTAAAGTTTTCTGTCTGGCTGGCTCTTTTTTACCCTATGCAGAAAATCGTCAAAGTGTTTACTGTTAAGTGAGATATGGGGATGTGAAGAACAAAATTCCACAGAACAATTATATATAGAGTTTTAAGGGTTTTGGAGCTCAGTTTCAGATAGAATGGGTTGCTCGGAGTTAGAAGTGTCACTCGTATCCTTGGTCATGTGGAGAAGTAAAGTTCCTGAGAGAATTACGAAAAAACCACAGATTTCTGAAATTATTTGGGTTGCATTTTGAGAGTCCCAGTCCTGGATAACCAATACAACACAATTATCAATTTATTTGATCAAACAACAATGCAGTTGAGCATCTGAAAGATGCATTAGAAATAAATAATGGAAACAAAAAAGAGACGAGGCTGAAATTAGTGTTTTTGCATGCTGAAAGAGAAGGAGAGTAAGAAGAATTTGGTAATCTTCACATATTCTCTTTTTAGTGATCTTCACATATTCAATAGAGTTTGGTTCTCATCAAATACCCTTTGGAGTTGGGTTATCTTCTCCATATAAGTGATGGAGTTGAAAAACTTTGATGGCTTCTAGATAATCTTTGATTCAATAATCATATTTTATGGGATGAGAGTTAGCAATGGTTACCTTAAACATAATCATGCTAGCAAAGATAGTGAACAAAGTGAACATCACATAGTAGACGGGTGATACCACAGCGGTGTTGAAAATATCCAGCGCCTGCACAAATGATAAAATCATGTTAAAAACTGGCTCAGCAAAAGCATTATGAAAATTTTAAGAGCAAAGGGTAAACATCTTATGCGTGGATTTGTTTAATTTGAAGATAATGAGCTCTAAAAAACAATAATGGCGTGCAGAGGGATTGGACCAAAGAGGATTAATGTGTCCAAAGAACTTCAGATTGTACAAGACTAATGATATCCTTCAAAA